TGTATTTCGTTGTATTAAAAATTCAGTTTGACTACTTTCACTTTCAGGTCTGTAATTCAATTTCAGTTCCAAAATTCAGTTTTTTGTGTCACACATCCGGGTCCTTGAGGATGGCCACAGATTAATCAAACACAGATTCATCGATTTATGTTTCACATCAGGTTAAACTTCTTTACGGCATGTTGAGCTGCAGCAGTGCAGCTACATGAGCTTAGCGGATGTCCATCACCAAGTCAAATGAGCGTCTATAAGAAATCATGTAAACAAATGATGGTCAAACAGCAACACTTATGCTACCTGTAGCTGTTAGCTAAACACGCCAGATTAGCATAGTTTGCGGCCGGTGTTACGTCGGTCTGCGTTTCTCTTGCCTTTACCTCAGTGTAACATCTGTTGCCTAGCAACCGTGTTAGCATGAAGCAGAGCTGTGAAGCCGAACAAATGGAGCCTGAAGGTTAATAAGCTGTCTCTACTGTAAATAACTACACGGTTTTTATTTATACTTTTACATATTGCTGATGGCTTATAATGCTGTTTTGTTTTAAAATGTTATTGTTTTATGATCTTGTTCATTATTTAGCCATTTACAATGTTGAAAATATTTTTTTGTTCATAGATATAAAAATCTAACACTAGATAAAATATATTGATGATAAATACCATTTGTTTAATTTATTTGTAAAGCTTTCAACAACTTAAACACTAACATATTAACTTTAGGAACAAAGTTTAAATCAGTTTATTTGCAGAGCATAATAATAATTATTATTATTATTATAAATAAACCAAACATTAATATTAGATTTCATCTGACTGAATTATATCTGTCTAACTTCCACCCATTGGGGAAACCCAGCGGGATTTTGAAAACAACGTGCCGGGAGTCAGCTGTTCTCTCGGGGTTCAGCGCTCCTCAACCAACCGGTCAGCTGACAGCTGGCGAGGCGAGCAGCTGCTGGGGCAGCGGACGAACACATCGCCGCATTTGTGTAATTAAGCGATATCTTGATAAACTGATCAGATATTTTAGGTTTACACAACTACATTCTCGTCTAAAAACATTGTAAAAGTTCAGTTGTTTTACAGAATGCGCAATATATCCACTTTTATTCCCAATTTTTCTCTCTCCTCCAGCCTTTGTTACTTCCGTTTGAACAATCTACTTCAACCCGCAAAGAATCATGGGATAGGGTGGGCCTTGGAGGATACACCAGACCCATCCTTCATATCTGGGGATAAGAAGGATCCATTTGTTGGAACTTTGGAAATTGGACCGCATTTGTCGCCTCATCCAGGACGTTATCGGCCTACAAATGCGACCTTCAAAAGGATGCAGACCTGAATCTGGACACAGCAACAGTGAAGGTCATCCGTGTGGCTTCAAGGACCCGGATGTGTGACACAAAAAACTGAATTTTGGAACTGAAATTGAATTTCAGGCCTGAAAGTGAAAGTAATCAAACTGAATTTTCAATACAAAGCAAAGCAATTTTCAAAGCAAACAAGTTCAGTTTTAAACCATTATTTTCAGTTTCATGTTAGTGAAATTCATTTAAACCAATGCATTTTATTTCAAATTACACAAATACAAATTCAGTCTGAGCAATTCAAATTCAGTTTCTGGTGGCACAAGTTTCTTCCCATACTGGTCCTTCACAGGCTTCAGTTTCCCAGGATTACAATTAATAGGTCACTCTGTCTATCGGGTTTTGTGAGATGTGCAAGAGTGTAATTTACATACGTGGTGCTTTTTCTTGCTCAAAGGTTTCTGTGAAAGTGTGCTGGGTGGCTCAGTTGGTAGAGCAGGTGCACCAGATGCAGAGGCTATAGTCCTCATTACGGGTGTCCTGGGTTCGATTCCTTGTCAGGCCATTTGATGCAAGTCTTCACCCTGTTTCCTCTAAGTCACTATTCAATAAAGGCCACTAGTGTCAAAAAATCTAAAACAAAGGCTTTGATGCTTGCTTTTATTTATTCCTTCATTGTTTTCACAGATAAATTACATTTATTTCAATTAATAGATTGGTCTGATTTTCCTAAGCAGTGTTTTTGTCACTCTTGGTCTTCCATACTTCACAGAACCACCCCCAGAAGGAGGGACGGGACGGAGTAAGAAACATCTGGAGCAGTTTATGAGTTCTGCTCTGCGGTCAGGTAAGAAGCTACTGCTGTCGGTCTCTGTCAGAGCGTCTCTCTCAGTGTCTCCGTCTGTGTCTCTGTCCAACGTGTCCTGCAGCTGCATACATACTGTCACTGCTGGGAAACCTTCAGCCAGCTGCTTGCTAACGTGGCTTCAGCTGCAGACTCACTCTGGGTTAGGAACCGGATTTATTCTGGGTCTGGAATCAGAAAGGCTTGCAACAAGTGATCATAGTTTGGACTTTTAGATAAGCTTTGCTTTCAGTTTTCCTTCATGCATGTCTCTGCTGAGGCAGTGAAAAGACATTTTTCCCAACCTTGATCTGGTTTATCAGTTGTTTATTTTGACAGTTTGACACATTTTCTGCAGGAAGATCCGTCTGGTTCTTTGTTGCTTCATTTCAATGAGACGACAGAAAGCTGAGGCGAGTTCCTGCTGCAGGAAAGAATGTTGAAAAGAAGCCAAAAACACTTTCAGAGCGGCTGAGGTTGGTTTATTCTGAACTGCTGGTCAGCACTAGTTCATACTTCAATAGGTCCCTGGTTCTGATAGAAGAATGTCCAGTTTCTTTGCTTTATTGATCCAGTGGCTGCAGAAAAAGATTTCCTATATCTCTGAGTCTGACTGCAGGCTCAAACATCTGGTTTCCATTTTCTCTGCTGATCTCTGTTTTTGATGGAAAAAGTTGACTCAGCAGCTTTGGGTTTGATTGTCTTTAACCAGGTTTGATGAGGTGAATGTTAAAATGTCCCAGCTGGACCTGCTGAGGAAGACTCATCGCTGATTGATGAAGCTCGGGATTGTTTGGTCTCACAGAAACACTGAGGACGGTTTTCAGGTGGACGTTACCTGAACAACTCAAAAGACTCAGGAAGAGATTTTTGATCCTCTTTATAACTGAGATTAAAAACTAACCAGAACATTAAAGGCCAGACAAAAGGAAAACCCAATCAGGATGAAGATCTGCAGGGTAGAAACACATTCTCACATGTTTAGCTGTCCTTCAGTTCTGCTAATAAACTTATTTCTGACTGAAGCAAACAGCAGCACTGAGATCAGATCTTAAATGTTCCATAAACATCAATAAGTCTCATCAGGTGTTTCCAGATGTTTACATGTGTTTTCCTTCATCCTTTCAGCCATGTTGTCTCTGGCCTCCTGGTCACTTCGCCTCAGCGCTGCTGGTTGCCAAGCAAGCAGGAGGCCCATAGCAACGGTCGTCTCTGGCAACAAGACGTCCAAGTAAGTGATTGGAGCAACTATGAATCAGGAGGAAAAAAGTTTCTCTTCCTAACTGAATGGTCCCTCGTTAATGTTCATCCCTGGAGAAGAAAAGAACTGCTGGCTGAATGTAATTTAGATGTTTACTACAGTCAGGGGAAAATCTAAGTCTTGCTGCTTGTGTTGGAGTTTGACAACATCTGTTGAAGCAAAGGTTTTGTTAGCCTGCAGCTTCATAGCAGAATTTGTGTTAAAACATTGACAACATGGAAAGACAACAGCAATGACCTCAGAGAAGCAACTGTTGCAGCCCACCAGTCTGGGAAGGGTCAAAAGGTCATTCTCAGACCATCCAAAGTCCATCATTCTGCAGAAGATTCTTCCAGAAAACATTTAAGACAGCTTCCAAACTTCCCCGGAGTGGACATCTCCATAAACTCACCCAAAGGTCAAAGTGCGTAATGTTCAGAGAAATAACAAAAACAAAATCCAGGAGCTCCTTCTCAGACACAGCAGGCAACTGTCACCACATTTAATGTTAAACATGTTTATCCATAAAGGATAGAACCATGTTTGGAGAAAATCTGATATGAACATCTCATACTACACTTCAAGCACGGTGGTGGAGCTATAATCATGTGGGCTTTTTCAGCAGCTTGCAGTCTTGAGTGGACTGTGAAGCTTGGTCCAAACTGGGTCATCAACAGAACAATGATACCAAACACAGCAGTAGATCTATGACAGGATGGATTTAAAAGAAAAGAATCACAGTGCTGTAGTGGTCTATTCAAAGTCCTGACCTCAACATGATTTAAATGCTGTATTGGGACCTTAGGAGAGCTGACGAGAAACAAATGTCTGCAAACCTCAAAGAACTGAAGCAACGCAGGAATGAACAGAGGAACAAATGTCCTCCATGATGACCTGAGGGACCGATAAAGTCTGGCAGAAGGCAACTTCTGGGTTTTTTCAGCTGAAGCTGGTTCTGCAAACTGCTGGATCATTGGGTGGACTTAGTTTTTCCCCTGACTGTAGCTACACCTGTCACTCCTGGATCTGTGTGTGCAGGTTGGTCAGGGAGAGGCTGAAGAAGGATGTGGAGAAGATGAAGAGTCAGTTTTCAGGGTTCAGACCCAGTCTGGTTGTTTTACAGGTGAGACATTTAACTACCTGAAGGTTCCCTAGAAGGGTCTGACCTGTGGAGACTGCAGTGACACCTGCTGGTCACATGTTTATTTAATAATGACCAGTAAAAAGTAAATCATGTTATCTAGAAGTAACAATGATTCTGCACTTTTAGCTTCAGGTCCAGGTGAAACCAGCCTGAACCTGCTGAGTTTACTGCAGCTGGTACTGTTCTCAGAGCTGGAGCACTGAGACCAACCTGAACCTGCAGAGGTTCAGTCAAAGATCACTGAGTTTCACCTGTGAAGACCTGCTTCAGGTCAGGTTAATCACTAACCTGCTGGGGGTCCCACAGCTTCACCTGCGGGTCTCAACTGCTTTCACACCTGATCTGGTCTGATCCAACAACCTGCAGACAATGTTTTTCTGTAACATTCATGGAATATTAGCCCTGTCAGAGTTACGCTCGGCTTCAGTGGCTGTTTGCAGTTCCTGCAGTGAGCTACATGAGCTGATGTGTTTCACCTGGTTATCTGACGTACGTGCGTGTGTGTGTGTGTGTGTGTGTGTGTGTGTGTGTGTGTGTGTGTGTGTGTGTGTGTGTGTGTGTGTGTGTGTGTGTGTTCCAGGTGGGAGACAGAGATGACTCAAACCTTTACATCAGCACCAAACTAAAGGCTGCAGCCGAGGTGAGAAACAGGATTTAGGGTTAGGGTTACCCTTTCCTGAATTTCCACTGTACCTGTACAATGCATGTACCTGTTGAAGTCTATTCTTTTTCCTCTGAGCCTCAGCTCAGTTATTTCTGCTGTTTTTTCTTTCATTATCACAATCAAATTCACACAATCTAAATAGCTGTAAAAGTGAGGAAAACAATAGGAACTGGAACTTTTGCCTGGAACTTGCTGCCCTCTAATGGTTGCGCTAAACTGTCAGATTCATGAGATTTTTGTATTCAAGATTGAGGTTTCCTAGAGGGACTATTGATATTGGGGCTCCTATGATTAATATTTATCATTGGGTTTTATCCTAATCATTAATAAGAATTGTTCTGCATTTATTTTAGAATAAATCGATGATTCTCTTTGGGAAGGTTCGTCAATAATCCTGAATTATCCAAGAGCTGCTTGAATGACATTAACATTGATTCTGTTCTTATGTCCTTTACCTTAGGGACTTATTCTTTATCACCCCCTCTCCATTTTGAGTTTCCCCAGGAGTCCATATTGGGACCACTGCTGTTTGTTTTGCACGTTCTCGCTAGGGTCTATCTTTAGGAACCATAACGTACTTTTTCATTGTTTTTCCGATGACATTCAGGCCTATATGTCAGTGAAACTAAGCAGCAGTAATGCACTGACACTCTTATGGAACTGTCTGGCTGAAATTAATATCTTGATGAGGTTAAGTTTTCTAAACCTTAACGAAAAGAAGGACTGACGTCATCTGATTTGAAAAATCTAACCACTCAACCCTCTGCTGCCGATGCTCTTGGTTCTGTTACCAACTAGCAGTCACTCTGTAATTCTGGCCCATTCATTCCAACATATCTTCAGTTCTTTGTGTGTTTTTTCTCTGAACAGCTCTCTAAAGATCCCAACACAGCCATTCAAATCATGTTGAGGTCTGGACTTTGACTGGACCGTTGCAGCACCTTGGCTATTTTCTTTTTATAAAATCTGCTCTCAAGACCCACCTCTTCTCCTTGACTTTTGGCCCGGTCAAAGTTATTAATTTTATTTAGATTTTCTTCTCATTTATTTTGTGTTTTCTTGTTGCTACATTTACTTGTGTCTTATTTCAACTTTTAATAGTTTTACTCATAAATTCAGATGTTTTATCCATTTATTTGAATGATTCTGCCTGCTGTGTTTAAACTCCTTTATAAATAAAGTTGTCTTGGATTTTTCAGGCGTTTTTTGTAGTTCAGCTGCTGTGTTCAGGCTCATTGTTCTGTTGTCGACCCAGTTTGGACCAAGCTTCAGCTGCTGGACAGATACCTTCACATTTGACTGCAGAAACTTTGGCACACAGAGGAGATTATTGTCTACTCTGTGAAGTTTTGAAACAAGTCAAAACCACCATACCTCCACCACCGTGCTTGACTTTTGTTTGAGGTGTTTATGCTGATGTTATGTTTGGTTTGTCCATAATATGCTGTTGCATATTATGGACAAACATCTCTACTTTCTTGGTGTCTAGTGTCAAAAGACATTGATCTGGAAGATAACTGGTTCATTCAGATGCAGCTTTGAAATCCTGAGTCCTGCTGTTGTCTTGTTTTTGGAGAGAATAGGTTGTCTCCTTTAGTTCCTTGTTTTCAAATTGTCTTGCCTTGACCTTTAACCTTTATCCTTCTAACTGAGGCCTTTAACACACTTTTATG